GGAGGCCCCATGCTTGGGATTAGCCGGTTATTATTTAGGTAACTGTTTTACCAGCGCGAAATCAGGGCGTTTGAAGGCGTGTGTTGCCAGCTGTGCTTTAGCTGGCAGCGATGCAGGACAGCCGGCAGCGTGCCACCCTCCTCCCCGAACGCGCCGGTCGCACCGATGGAGCGGTCCCGGCTCCATCCCGCGGCTGGGACACCCTCTGCACCGGGGAAGGAGGGAGAGCCCCCGCAAAACACCCGTGTTTCGCCACACGCAAACCCTCTCTAAGTGCTTGCACAGCTCTTCTCCGCGGGTCAGGGAGAATCCGTTCATTCAACAGCCCCAACCTCACGCTCTGCGCACAAAGCGGATGCGACCGACAGCGGGAGAGCAGATCTGCTCCCCAGAGACCAGCACAGGCAGCTCTCCCTTAAAGCCGGCTCGGGCTGAGCATCGTCATCTCGTCCCTGGCATCCCTGAATGGAGCCAGGCTGGAGAGCTGCGAGTGTTCACCTGGAAAAGGGAAGGCTCCAGGGAGACCTTAGAGCCCTTCCAGTGCCTAAAGGGGAGAATGACTTTTTACTGGGGCAAGGGGGAACGGTCTTAAACTAAACGATGAGAGACTTAGATTAGGTGTTAGGAAGAAATTCTTCCCTGTAAGGGTGGGGAGGCCCTGGCACAGGTTGCCCAAGGAAGCTGTGGCTGCCCGATCCTGGAAGTGTCCCAGGCCCGGTAGGAGAGGGCTTGGAGCACCTGGGATAGTGAAAGGTGTGCCTGCCCACGCAGGGGTGGAACTAGACGAGCTTTAATGTCCCTTCCATCCCAGTCCATTCTGGCATTCTGTGACCCCAGCCTGCGAACAGAGCTCTGCACAACCCAGAGCTGCCGGCAGTGGGACCTGACCCCCGGTCAGGGATGCGGTGCCCCCCTTTTTGTTCAGCGCCCCATCTCCTCTCCTGAAATCCCACCGTGGAAAGACAAGTGCTGGACCGTGCCTACGGCCGGGGAACAGCGAGGGGATGCCGCGGGCACGGCTCCTACGGCCACCGCCGGCTGTCAGGAGGAGTCCAGCCCCTGCGGCAGCCGGCCGGGCGGAAAGAGAGGGGAAGCGGCTCCATCCCGGCGGGGAAGATCCCTCCGGAGCCCCGAGCGCTCTGGCCGGGGATGGATGGTGACAGCGCGGGGAGCGGGGCAGGGGACAGCGGCGGGGAGAGGCTCCGGGCGGGCGCATCCCCCGCCGGGCTCCGGGCCGGGTCTCACCTGAGCAGGGGCTCCTTCTCGGGCGCCGCCGCCTCCCCGCCGCAGCAGCCGCAGCAGCCGAGCGACCGCAGCCAGGCCCGCAGCCCCATCGGCGCCGCCGGAGAGCCGGGCAGGGCTCGGCAGGGCCGGCCCCACGGCCGTCCCCTGCCCCGCCCCACCGGGGCCGGGCCGGGCTCCGCGCCGCCCCACCGGCCCCGCCCCGCGGAGCAGCGGCCGCTGCGCCGGCTCAGGGACGGAGCTGCTGCGTCTTTCTGCGTCCTCATTGAACCGCCCTCCCGCATCTTCCCCCTGCATTGCCCTGCACCATCCTCCTGCACTCCTCTGCAACCCCCTGCACCCCTCGGGACTCTCCTGGATTCTGAAGCGCCCTTCTGCATCCTTCCAAACCCTCCTGTACCCTCTTGTCCCCTGCAGCATCTTTCCCTGCCCTTTTGCATCCTAACGCGCCCTCCTCCATCCGACTGCATCCTCCTGCACATCCTGCATCCTCACCTTTCCACACCCTGCTGCACTGCCTCGCACCCTTCTGTGCCCTCCTGCAGCCTCCTCAATGCCACGTTGCATTTGCAGCCTCCAGCCCTCGTGCCCCCACTGGAACAGACCATCACTGGCCACCACAGCATGGCCAGAACCCAAAAATCCCCTTTTTCCAACCCTCTGCACCACTACACTTCCAGGCCTGTTCCCACCTGGCTTTTGGGACACAGGACTGTGATCCTGGGAGCTGCAATGGGAAATGGGCAGGGGGGATGGACTCGCCTGTCTCCTGGTACAGGGGTTTTTGAGGAAGAATAGAAGAGCCTAAAATATTGCTGCCTTCTCCCTTTTTTCCCTTTTGTCAGGAAAATTAATCCACAAACACCAGAGGTTTATGTCCAAAATATATACAGAGGGGTCCTGTAGTTTTATTTGAGGGAGAGCCATGGGATATTTCCCCTGGGGTCTCTCAAATTTTTAGAGGACACAGCCTCCTTTTTATCCTAATTTCCTAGCTGCATTTCTCTCTTTCCCCATTGGCTGAGGTACTTGAAAGGTACAGACTTCCTGAAAAGCCTGATACCTAAGACCCTTTCTAATGTATACCCCACCCCACCTCCCCATTTTTCTTTGTGTCTCTGTTCTTTTTCTCTAAATCCAGAGATTTAGCACAGTCTTGAGTGAGTAACAGTCTGGGTCAATTAATGAACTTCCTATGGAATTTATGGTTTCCCCATTGCTTCTTTCACCTCTCCCTATCTGTCCTTACCAACCATCAGGCCCACAGTTTACAAAGACACCTCCTTCTCATTCCTTTCACTGTCTTACATTCTATCACATGCCTGGCTAGGACCCCAAGAAGGAAAAGCTTAAGCTCTGAACTAAGATGGTCCTGGATCTTGTTTAATTGCCACAAATTTGTTTGCATTTCAGAGCAGTCCATCAGGCATCAGCCAGACCCAGAGCGATTGCTCTGAGTCTGGTTTGGCCATGCATGTTCCCAAAGTTATTTAATTTTAGTACAGCAGCTTCCTGACGCCACTGGACCTTTTGCTTGTGCCAGCAGATATAATAATATCAGCTACTACATCCTCATGCCCAGAGAGTGCATGCAAGGAAAGGTGAAATAAGATCATTCTGAGCTCACATTTCTCTCCCTCCTTTTATTCCAGAACTGCAAATTCATCAGCACTGGATCCGGCCCCTGTGTGGGGAGTGAGATATCTCTGGTTGCTCGACCACAGATTGTCAGGTAACTTCTAAATTTCATTTAATTCAGTGGCTCCACAACCAGATTTCCCAGCTTCCCCAATTAGAAGGTGAAACAGTGAGAGAAGGAGTTGCTGCTGTTGTTTCTGGAAGCCCCCAGCACTGGGCTTGCTTTCAGCCCATGCTCCGGCCCCAGCGCTGCTCATCAGTCATTCCATCAGGAAGGATTTACGGCCGGATGAGCCGAGGGGCGAGGCAGGATGGCAAAGCCAAGGGCTCTCTCCTCTGCAGGCTTCCTGCTCTGCCCTTGAGCGTGTCCCTGCCTGCCTTTATTTCCCCTCCAGCCCTTTGCGTGCTGGAGCACGGCAATCACCAGCCGCTGCCATTGCAAGGATCCAGGAACTGCACGGGCAGGGACACACTTCCCTAAAATAGTCACTGCTGTGGGAATTCCCTTCTCCCTCCCCTCTCTGGTCTCTTGTTCATCTGGGCTTGCTTTTGACACAAACACTGATTTTTCCTGGGTTGCGAATGCCAGGGAGCAGGCAGAGATAGCCTTGATGCCAGCTGAGGTCTTGAGGCACAGCTCTAACTCATCAACAGTGACATCTCTGGTTTGTGGATAAATGCCTTCCCTACAGGGAGCTTTATCCATATCCCACTGCTTTTAAGACAAGAGAATTTTATTCTTCACTAATTTAAAGTCTGAGCCCTCTAGGTTTCAAAAGATCCTTGAAGAAATACCAACTATTTTCCGATCCTTTTATTCCTTGTTGTGATAATAAATCTTGCTCCTTTTCTATCAGAGAACAAATAAACAGGGGAGATTCTCCCGAGAGTTGAAGCCTTACTGGGATCTTAAAATCAAATCAAGTTTTCCACAAGGTAGAAGAAGTATCACTGACTTCTTCAGGGGATCCTGGGGATGAGGAGGTGGACCCCAGCCCACCCAGCCCTGTGGGTATCCTCCCTCTTGTGTGGTCCAGCAAAGAGCTTCTGATTCAATTAAAGTTGAAATTTATGTAAAACAATTAAATTTGTAAATTAAATGCAGCAGGGTAATGGTGTCATTGGCCTCCTCTTCCTTTAGCTCCAAGCAATCCATCCACAGGTAAACCTGTTGGTAAAAAGTATCAGTGGACACAGGAGGACTGACAGGAATATCCTTTGGCCTTTTTGTCTCCTAAAATAGATTGATTCATTTTTTCAGTTTTAATAAATTTCAGAGTGAGATGCATTCCCAATTGAGGTGTTATTAATCCAGGATCCTGCTATAGAATTAAAATCCAGAGAGTGAACATTTGGGGAACAAGTTGGAAAGACCCCAGGGCATTCTGGCATTCCTTAAAGCCTTTGGATTTAATAAATGGGCAGACAGAGACAATGGACAATATCTGATTCTCTGTGCCTAGTGTTTAAACCCACATTTGGTCTAAGGCTCAGCAACCCATATCTTGAGGAGACCAATTTATTTCTGCATGGTGCAGGGCCATCAGAGAGTAGCTGTCCCTTGGGGAGCACAAGAGGGACAGAGGAGGGAGCCAAAGGCAGCAGAATCTGGTGTGCCAAATTTGGGAGAGCTCAGAGAAGGCCTGGTGCCTTTTGCAGCCTATGCTTGGCTGGTGTTTTGTTTTCCAGCAGGTGTTTGGTGCCAGCTGTAGCCCTGTGCATTGCCCAGGAACTGTGCAGTTTGTAACTGGGCAGGTGACTCAGGGCTGGGCCATCACCCCCTCCTGTCTGTAGTGGTGCTCTCAGCAAAATACAGGTAAAATGAGGTGTCCAGACCCCAAAGAGCCAGGTTGTGAAAACAAAGGGCCCTTTAGAAAACTACCTGCAGCAGTTTTCCCTTGCTGCAGGCACCACCCCTGCACGATTAAGCAGCAGGTGGCCCAAATAAAATATTCAGGGCACAAGCCCAGGAATTACAACCATGCTTTGATTTAACAAACTGCTTCAAGCCTCTGTCTTCAGTCCCTGAGTAAGTTCACTGATTTCTCTTAAAATTAGGAGTGGCTTAAAGGCTGTGCTAATTAGCATGGACCCATGACTGCTGTGCAAAGTACAAACTGAAGGGACTGTGCTTCCAGCAAAGCACAGCTCCGTTACCTCAGCTGCATGGAATTAACAATACTCTCGTGAGGAAGGGGCACAATCCTGCCCCGAATCAGGGCAAACTGCCTACTTCCGAAATACCAACATTCTAAGCTCCTAAAGTGCTGCTGTTGGGGACTCTTGCTGCATTTTCTCTTTCTGCTGGACACCAGGAGGGGACTTCAGCGCAGGCAGAGCTCTGTAAGTACGGCTGTGGCTGCATGCAGCATTTGAATGCTGTTCTACTTCGCAGCACCTCCTGGGCTCCACATCTGCTTCCTGAGATGAGGAGGCTGCTTGAGCATTCCCAGGATCCGTGGGCATTTTGAAAGCGGTAACTACAGAGCTGTGTAAAGGCTACGGCTCGGGTCTGCGGCTCCGGGACCTCGGTGGCATTGACCCTCTCGGAGCTGCCTCTGGGATTTCAGCAGCCCCGGCTGGGCAGGGGAGCACCGGGCAGCGCTGCGGGGCGGCACCGGGGGCGGCGCCGGCCATCCCCGCCTTGCCCCATCCCGGAGGCGCTGGGAGCGGCCGCTGCGGTAAGGAGGCTCCTCCGGGAGCACGGGAAGCACCGGGAGGGTCCCTGCAGAAAGCGCTGCTGTTCCCTGCCGGGAGCTCCACCCTGAGCTGGGGGAGCATCCCCTCCTGCGCGAAGGCAGGACCACCCTTGATTTCCCGATGCATCTGCGGATCGCTCGATAAACTCGCCGCGGGCACACCAGCGGGTGTCCTTCCCTGGGAAACGGGGCACGGAGCTGTCCTGGCAGTGCCCGGGGTCGGTGCCGAGCCTCGCACAGCGCCTGCTCGGGCTCGCACACGCACAGGAGACGGCCGGGAGCCTTCCGGGGCGGTGCGCTGGGGACTCCGCCCGGGACTGCGGGGCCGGAGTGGGGCGAGCCGTGCCGGGGGGCTCCCCCGGCTCCCGGGGGGCTCCCCCGGCTCCCGGGGCCGAGCCGCGCCCAGGCCGAAGGGCCCCGCTCGCCTCCACGCGTGGTGATGGGTTCAGTGCCCTAAGAGACTTCGGGTGGCTTTTGGGGCCAAAAAGCAGCAGGTGGTTGGGAAAGCGCAAGGTGGAGTTGTGGTTGTGTTGGTAATAGGAGAAAATTGATTTCCGTAAAAGAAAGGTAAAAAAATTCCAGCCAGCAAAAAAAAACCCCATGTTTTACTGGTTGTTTTCCTGCCTCACTGCTCAGTGAATTATTTGAGGAAACAGTCGGGTGGGTGAGGGATGCAATGGAGTTAAACACTCCTTATGGGGTGTGTAAAATCCTAGAAAGCTTTTCCTGTTGGACACCGCTGCTTTGCTCCTGTGATGAGCTTAGGGCTGTGGGAGGGATTCCTGGAGAGCAGGTTCAGTCTCCCTTGCTGGCGCCTCACGGGCAAAGTCCTTCCCGTGGCCCCGGGGAGGCTTCAGTGCCTGCGGTCCCGGGCTGGGGAGGCGGCAGGAGTTTGGTCCCGTGTGACATCCCCGGCTTGCTGCCTCCTCCCAGGTGCCAGGTCAGCCAAGCATGGCCACCCAGATGTTCGAGGGCAGAGGGCATGCGGCCGTCTACCAGAAATACAGGTTTGCACCGGGCAAAGAGCTGCAGCAGACCATCCTCTCCTACCTGCGGGAAAAGGTGAGCGGGGTACGGCCAGGCTGGAGGAAAAATCCAGGGAGTGTTTAACTGTGGGTGGCAGTGTTTACCTTGCTGGGAGTGTCACCTTGGTTGGTTGCCTCGTGGCCAGATGGGGGCACAGAAGAGACTTTCTACGGGTTCTGCTGTGCCGAGGCTGTTCCAGAGTGGGTGCCTGGGGAAGGAATAGGGTAAAAGCACAGGAATTGGGTGGCTGCCCACTGAGACACATCCACATCTCCCTGCAGAAAGCAATCCCTGCGGAGCTGGCGGTGGATGTTGGCTGTGGCTCTGGACAAGGCACCCACTTCCTTGGGGAGCACTTCAAGAAGGTGGTGGGCACGGACATTAGCGAAGCGCAGATCCAGGAGGCCAAGGACACCCCCTGCATGCCTAACATCTCCTACCTGTGAGTACCAGGACAGCAAGCTCAGCCAAAGGCAGAATTCAGGTCTTCACGTGGAGGTGGTTGTTTGTGAGTATGACTATTTTAAGAGCCAGCCGGCACCAAAGACTCCATTTGATGGAATTCCCAGTGTGATTAGGCATTATCCTAGACTCCCAGAAGGCATGGTCTTGCATCCCAAACCATCCAAAAACACCCTCTGAACCCATCACACGTGGTTTCTCCCCTTGCCCTGCAGCGTGTGCCCTGCGGAGGAGCTGCCGTTTGAGGACGGCTCCGTGGACGTGCTGGCGTCGTTCACGGCCGCGCACTGGTTTGACACGGAGCGGTTCATGCGGGAGGCGCAGCGCGTGGTGAGGCCGGGCGGCTGCGTGGCCATCAGCACCTACACCGTGGACATGAGCCTGCGCTGCGGGGACTGCTCCCAGCAGCTCACCAGAGCCTTCAGGGAGGTCAGCGGGGAAACGCGCAGTGCTGGGGCGCAGAGAGGGAGGAACGGTGTAGCGAGTGCTGGTGGTGTCCTGGATGGATGGAGATGAGAGATCTCTGAAGTTGGGTCTTGGAATATAGGGTTTATTGCAAAGGGCGTGGATGTGGGGCTTTGCTTGGAGCTGCCTGCTGCAGCTCAGAGCAGGCCCCAAGGAGCAGGAGCAGGGAGAGATAGAGAGTGCGGGAGAGGATGCTAAGAGCACGTCCAGTCCCCCAGGCACACCTTATCAGGGGGCTTCAAAGTGGGCTGGAACAAGACTTGTGCCAATGGGATTACAGATACTGATGCTTCAGAGGAGGGTTACAGATGTGGGATGAACCATACATTTTGAGGGGTGAAGCACAACATTCCATCTGACCCTTGGACCTGTCTGTAGGTAGAGGGCATTCTTTAATCAAAGGGGGGATTGCCTTTAGGTGACTGTACTATTGTTTTATAGTTGTTCAGTAACTAAGGTTTGGTATCTCATTTCAATCTCGCTTATAGTTTCTGTGTTTTCCAAATCTTTTGCCAGGCAATCATATTTATAAGGCTTTCCTATTTCATCTTCCCCAACATCTGGGATTGAGGGGGTGTGATGAGAGGAATCCTAATGCAGAATGGGGTAAATGCAGGGATTTAGAGACTTCCACACTGGGGTGGCTGGATCATAAGGAGAGAGACTTGAGGACTGATGGGGCAGACTCTGGTGAGGGTGGGAAGGGTGCCAGGGCAGATCTGGGAGCTGGTATTGTCCAGGAGACTTTTCATGTTGCCCTGATGACAGTGAAAAGAATGGGGAGTAGAAACTGTTGGGAATAAGTCCTTTTTTTAGGAATCTTTCTGGACAAAGGGTGTTTTAACAATTGGATAAAAGGAGACTTTCCACTATGAGTAAGAGCTGTGTAGGGAGGACAGAAGCCTCATTTTTAGAATAGGATCCTTGAATTGTTGACATTAAGGAAGATTTTGGTGTATTTTAATGCAACAAGTCTTTAAAAAAAGAAGGACATAGATGAATGTATCAGATGCAGGCCCAAACCCGAGTTAAGTGGCATCTGAGAACGTCAAGTGGTTTTTTGTTTGTTTTCAATACACTGTCTTTACAGTGCTGGGACAAGATTTTAAAATACTCAAATGATAGATTAAAATACGTCTTGGATGACTACAAAGAGATCTTTGAGGCCTTGCCATTCCCAGACAAGAAGAGGTGAGCAGAGCCACCTTTGGTGTCAGATATTTTATCCACCACATCAACCTGTGGTCCATGTTCCCCTGCCTTTGAGATTTAACTTGCCAATGTTCCTTTCTTGCTCATGTCTCTTGCAGAGTCACTGATATCTATGACCCAATTCCCATGACTGTTGAGGGTGTGGTTGGTTACATGGAGTCTACCTCTCCTTATCAAACCTTTAAGAAAAATGACCCTACAGCTGCAACATCCCTCCTCCAAGAGACTGAAAAGAGGTGAGAAAACTCCTTGGGAAAACAAGCAGAGTGTGGAGGACCTGTCCTGCACAGTGCATGCAGATGGAGGTTGTGCAGACCTTTTCAGAGCTGCAAGGGAGTGTGCAGGGATGTGCTCGTTCTCTTCCCCCAGGGGTGGACACTTGTCAGGGCTTCAACAGCAGATCTTTAGATTTTAGGCCTGTGTAGCAGGAGGATGTACTTGCACTGTATATAATATTATCTATTTATGCAAATATACTACCTGTTTTCATACTTAAAAGTTCATATATCTATGTGAGTAGTTCTGTCTACTTACACATGTAATTTTAGCTGTTTTATGTGAAGAATTCTATCTATTCTAGTGACAAGGTTCTGCTATGTTTTTATGTCTAGGGCTGAGTTGCTGAACTTTAGGCCTTAGGGCCTTTGCTAGCTTCTTTAGGCACTTGAAATGTATTTCTACTTACTTAAAACCTAAAGCTTAAACTTACTTAAAACTACAACTCACACTTCTATTTACTTAAAACTTAAACCTACACTTCTACTTCATATCTGTGTGGTTTAATATATCTTAATTTCTCTAAAGGCTTTAATTCAATCCCTGCATTCATCTCCCTCTCTGAGTTCCTCAGGGAAACTTGCATTCCAACATTCACCCATCTGTTTCAGCCCAGCAAGGGCCTGTGGGGAAGGGTGCCTGCTTATTTATTCACTGAGCAGAACAGCCCTTGTGCAGCAGCTGGAAGCATCTGCCACCCCCCCTGTGTGCTGTGGGTGGTGGGAGCTGTCTGGCCAGGGTGAGACCTTTCCTCTGCTTGTCCTTTCAGGATGCTGGAGACAATGGGAGTTTCCTCTCGTGAGACCCCGGTGGAGTTCTGGGTGAGGCATGTCTGTGTGCTGGGGTGCAAGGGATGCTGAGAGAGCAAACCCTTCTCCTCATCTGCTGCTACAATGGGAGAGGAAGGTAGATTGTCTCCTAAAACCCTGCTTGTAACTGCTCTGACTCTTTGGGAAGATTACTGCTGATTTTGCTGATTGAAATTTTGGTCTCCTATGGAAAGCAGATGGGGTTTTGTGCCCCTCAGGTTCCTGTCCACCTTGATGCTGCTCCCTCAGCACTGGAAGTGTCCCATTGTGGATTGCTGGTTTAATAACACATGGGAAAAAGAATCACAGGAACAGCTGAGAAACTCACTGCATTTCTTACACAATTAATAATTAAAACACAAGTTGAGAAAATGTTTCCTGTGGTTCCTGTTTTACAAAGAGGCTGTGGAGTACTCACTGGTGTGGGAATAACTGTGCTCCATTGAGTGTCCTGATGCCCTCAGTGCCCCTCTGCTCCATGGGGAGGGTGGGTTTTGGGTAGGAAGGGCCATTGACCCCTTTTCCTGCCCCAGCTAAGCGAGTGCACTGTCTTTGAGGGCTGCCCTGGAAAGGGGCTGTTCTCACGCACAGTGTGCTCCCATCCCTGGTGCAGGTATCAGCACCTTACCTGCCCCAGGAGTGCCTTGGCCCTAGTGAGGCCCCTCAGAACAGCTCAGGAGCCTTGATGGGATCACTGCTGAAGGGGAGCAGGTTTGTGCCCCCTATCACCCACCCACACTGCAATCTTAAGGAAGATTAGAGGCTGCAATTTTTGGGAGGGGCAAGGGGAGACATGAGGTCTCAAAGCTGGATATACCCTGGCACAGGTCACCTTCTGTTTGCCTTCTGGATATTTCAAGTCCAGACCCACCCTCTGCAGGGATCTTTCTCTTTCCTGTAATTCCTGTCCTTGGCAAGAAAGCTTCCCTGACACCATGGGAAGGGCTGTGCCCTTACTCTCTTCTACATCGGTGCATTGTTAAGAAAGGTGAAGTGCCTCCTCTGCTCCTGGCCCCAGAGGGGGTTGAGAGGAGCTGGAAATACTTCTGCTGAGATCCAGGGCTCTCAGGGTCCTGGCTGAGCTGCCCTCAGCTTGCCCAGGGTGAGGGGCAAATGCTTTGCCCCAGTTGGTCCCCCAGGAGGGTGATGGGGTCTTGGGAGGACAGCTATGGAATGGGAAGCCCATCATGTATGGGAGGCTGGTCCCTGTGTCCATGGCCAGGTGCTGGAGCAGTGACACTGGATCAGGCCCTGATCTCACTGGCTGAGGGGCTGCTCCAGGTGCAGCTTGGGTTTGGGGCAGCAGCTCTCAGGCTGGGTGAGCACGAGGGGTCTCTCCTGCCCAGGCTGGCACTGGGTGGCACAACTGCTGCCATACCGAGGGCCTGTCTGGCTGCCTGGGCTGGGGCAGCCCTGCTGGCAGGGCTTGTCCCTGTGAGGTGCATCCCTGCAGACATTCCAGGGCAGGGAGGGGTTCGCAGGAGGTGACATCCAGTGTCCCTATAGGGCTGGCAAAAAGGCTCTGGGGGAAAAGTGGGTTTTTTCCTCACTTTACATTTGCAACAAGTTTAAGTCTGCTCGCTAATTATGGCTGTGATTTAATTTAAAAGCCCTTCCCTCCCTGTGGCAGGTGCCCAGCCTTGAGGTAAAGCAGGGATTGCATCGCCAGCATGCACGGTGGTGCAGCAGAGTGGCACCAGCCACTGCAGGGGCTGCTGCAGCTCACACGTGCTGGGAGGTGCTGAAGGGTTCTGGGGGATGCAGTGGGGCTGGGGGCACCTTGGTGACACTGACACCCTGGGCTGGCAGGGACGGGTCCAGTGGTGGCTGACGAGCAGAGCCCACCTGATGCCCCTGTCCTGGCACCATCGGGCCGTGGGCAGGGCTCCCACACGTCACCCAGCTGTTTATTTTTAAACCTGGCTTTTTTGGGGCATGCTTTCTGTTCTATCTTCTCTACCTAGACTAGTCAGTTTAGCAGGAGTCACTTCCTCCCAGTCTGGCCCACTGGGGTCAGGAGCCATCTGGGCTCATCTTTACCCACACCAGTGCCATGGCCTGTGGGGAGCAGCTTTCCCAGGCTCGTGCCATGCAGGAACCCGTGAGTCACCATGGAGCGATTGCCTCACCCGGTGCTGACGCCAACCCTGTCCACAGTCAGGTTTCACTTTTGTTCTCGCACCTGGAAATCCCACACCTGGGATTTCTTGCTCCAAGCAAGGTTCCTTGAACCCAAGGAAGGAGCTCCATCATCACCACCTGTGCTGCTCTCCTGGTACAGCACCATCGGCAGCTGGTGATACTTCAGGTTTTAGCTTTGCTATTTTTCAGATTCTGTGCTGCTTTAGTGTGTACTTCTGAGCTTCAGATTAGGGGATGGTGAGCTCTCTGCAGAGTAGGGAGACAAAACAATTCCTTTTCTAGCTGGAGACCAAGGACAAATGATCCAAATCTCAGGCCCAAGAGCATAAACAAAGGCAGAATGAAGAGAGAAAAACAGGATGGGACTTCATAACCTAAAGCTGTAATTGGACAATTAACTCCAATATGCAAATAGAACAGAACTTACAAAAGTGAGAGACCCCATGACCAGTTGTCCATTTTGTGACCATTTTGGTTCATCTTGGGTGCAGCCCTGGCAGGGCTCTTGTGCTGCCCAAGGTGGATCCATTGAGGAGATCCTTTTAGTAAATCCCTGCTTTATTCTTTAGCTCCATTTAGTCTCTGCTCCAGGTCAGCCTTCACAAGGCATCACCGGGGCTGGAATATTGATTGTGGTGGGTCCCCAGTGCCCCGTAGACTCTGTTGGCACAGTGTGATGTCCCCAGCCCATGCTGGCTTTGAGGAACTCTCCACTGCCAGGGAGCTGGGACTGGCACGGTTTGGAGGAGCTGTGGTCAATGCAGCCATCCTTTGCTAGCTGAGCTATGGTGGAGCATGACATTTTTGGGCAAGACATGCACTGAAGCCCAGGATGGCAACGTCCCATCCCATGAAGAAAAAGTCCTCACTGCTGCTCAGCCAGGTTTCTGGGGGCTCAGCTATGGCTGGCACAAACATCTGAGCAGGGTGCCAAGGAGAGATCCTCATCCCTCCATCCCAGCCACCATGGGTGCCAGGGGCTGCGCTCATGGCCCGGCTTCACCCCACAGCTTTAGCTTTTCTTTGGTGCCTCTGAATTTCCTTTTGCATGTGTGAAGAGATGAGGTTTCACTTTACTTCTCCAAACAGAAATGACACCTGGGAGAGAAAAGCCACAGCCATGGGAAACAGGAGCCAAAGCTGTCCCACGAAGATGTGATGCTGCTCTGTGACCCGATGGGTGACCCGAAAGTGTCTCGGCAGGGATCGGTGGTGTGGGACTGTGGTTGGTGGTGGATCACTCCTCTCTCACTGGGATTTTCTGCTAAAGTGCCCTCTATTCCAGCTGAGTTGTGCCTGTTTGGATGACAGAAGTGGTCTTATTTATGCTGGTTTGGACTTGTATTTCACAGTTATATTGATCGATCATGAACTTTGTTGTGTTGAATAAAAATTAATCTCCTGTGGTTTCTTTAATGGGAGAAAAAGGAAAGACAGAGCAATTGTCCTGTTCACCAAAAAGGCAGACAAGGGACCCCAGCCCACACCAGGCTCAGGCTGCTGTGAGGGAGGCTGTCATGGGAGCCTGGTCCAGTGGCCACATCCATGACTGGAAAACCTGTGCCAAACATGCTCTGGGGCTTTGCTTTAGCACCACGTTTTGCTGTCCTGGTTCTTCTCTAAGTTGTGTCTGCATAGAGTTTGGACAAAATTGAATGAACCACTGTCCAATCCACTGCCCCCTCCCATTCTTCATCTCTACTAAGGTTTTCCAGGAAAGATCTGAGCCCTCTGGGATGCTGCTGGAGCAGGAAAAGGGCTCAAGAAGGGTTGGATGGACCCTGTGAGTCAACAGCTGGTCCTGCTTGACCTCTTCATTAATTGAACATGAGCCAGGAAAGTGTCCTGGTGGGAAAGAAGGTGAATGGTATCCAGGGCTGCACTGGGAGGAGTGTTTCCAAAAGGCTGAGGAAGGTGATTCCTCCCCTTTCCTCAGCACTGGTGAGGCCACTCCTGAAGTGCTGGGTCCAGTTTTGGGCTCCTCCGTGGGAGAGATACATGGCATGGACTGGAGGAGTCCAATCAAGGTCATGAAGATGATGGATAGGAACATCTCTGCTATGAGGAAAGGCTGAGAGAGGAGGCTCAGGGGCTCATGGTGGTGTGACAGCACAGCACAAGCTGAACCAGGAAAAGTCCATCTAAACACAAAAACAGAGACGGTGAAGTGTCTGCTCCATCTTTGGTCACTGTCCTGGGCAGCCCATGCCAGCTGATCCTGCCAGAGCAAGGATTGGACTGGATGATGTTGAGAGGTCCTAGCCCACCTCCATGACCACATCCCTGCCACTCTGCTCACCCACAGGTGTACCTTTCCACATGCTTCCACAAGAACTTTTCTTCTTTTCTTGGACTCATCAAAATCAGCACTTCAGTTACAAATATGAACATTAAAATTGGGTCCTCCCGGAGTGTTCCATGGTCACCATGCAAGGCGTTGCAAAGTCCATTTATGCCTTTTACTTTCTTACTGTCCATGCTTCTCAAATCCAGGCACTTCCCTATTTTTTTATATTTAATGCTTGGTGAACGTGTGAGACTAAAAGCACAACAGTGACCACCCACAGGAGGTTCCCTTGATGAAGGGACAGTTTGCTGAGAGGTACTGTTCCAGCTGTCAGCAGAGGGATGGCAATACACCCTGTTTGTGTCTCCAGGCTGAACAGGGAGGAAACCCCAGCCAGCTCCAGTGGTTTGTAGGGTGTCAGCCCTGCTCATCTTCATCTCCCTCCACAACTGTGTTGCACCTGGAAAACTTCAGGTGGAAGTGCTTCTGCTTTCACCTTTTTCCTGGCTTTGGTGGTGAACCTGGTCCCTCAGGATGACACAGCCATAAAAGCTTATGCCTGCAGCCTGGACTGTGTAGTGCCCACTCCTGGCTGCTGCTTATGGCCCCAACCCACCATGTCCTTTCCCACAAGGAAACTGAGGCCAGAACTCCTGCTGCTGCTCAGGAGGCACCAGAACCCTCCTGTCGGCTGTGAACCTGTTATCCTCAGGTGTCCCCCACAGCTTTCAGAACAGGGTGGGGCTGGGTCGTGCTGGTGACCCCACCACTTGCCACCCCCAGCCCCAGCATCCCTTGGCATCTTGGGCTGAGGCGGAGCAGGCAGCAGGGCCGGAGGCAGCAGGGCAGGTAACGGAGGGGAGGGGAGATTCCCTACACCACTTTCATTTTCTTGTTTCCAGCTCTACCAGCCTGGGTTTTCCTATGAAGATGAAAGCACTAGGCAGGAATAAAAAGCTGGAGATGGAGCAGCAAGGCAGCTACAGCAAGCAAGGCAAAGCAGATCTCTGGGACAGCCACCAGCCCAGCATCTCCACATCTGAACAAGCCACCTGTAGCACCTGTCAGGCACCTCTGCATCTGAAATTTAGTGAATCCTGCTCGGAGTTCTCCAGTTCATCCTCTCTGGCATCTTGCACCACAGCCTCCTCACCCCATCGTACCCTATCGCCGACTGTCAACCTTTCCTTGCCGAAATGTTGCACCCCAGCCTCACCCCACTGCTCGTGCTGGTGCTGGGGGTCAGCCTGAGGGCTGCCTTTCCCCATCACACCCTGAGTAAGGACTGCAGGCTGTCCAAGTACCAGAACATTGTACAGGAGGAGCAGCAGGCTGCGGACAAGATGAGACCATTTGTGAGTACTGCTGGCAACAGGGGGTTGTGGGCTGGGAGGGGGCAAGGCAGAGGGGATGCTGAATTCAAGAGCTGAGTGACAAGGTGCATGTTTTCTGCAGCAGTTTGGGGATGAGGAAGATGTTTTCCAAGGGTATTTGGGGACATGAAGGATGCTGGGCCACATTTCATCCTGGTTTCAGAGCCCTCAAGGCTGGCCGGGGTTGTTCAATATAGCCAGAAGTCACGATGAGAGTTTTTCAGTTTGTCTCTTGGTTTATGCCTGCAGGTGAAGAACCACAAATGCAACACCAGGCTCTTCCACCGGAAATGGAACGCAGTAGACCTGCCGGTAAGAGTGAGGTGATGCTGTAAAAAGGGGGCACACCTCTCCTGTCCGCCGGTTCCACCCACCCGCACCCCCGGGCAGGTCTCCGAGCCCCCCACCCTCCAGCCCTGCTGCTTCGGGTCCCTAACCAGGACACTCCCACCCACAGATGTCCGACCGAGTGGTGCTGGTGGCGGCCGAGCTGAACCTCACCACTGCCATGCTGGAGCTCCCCGCTGCCCCCAGCTTTGCCGAGGCGCGCCGGCGGCCCCTGGACTTCTTCAGACACGCCCAGGAGGACGTGCGGGGCTGCGTGAGTGCCTCCCGCGCCCTGCCCGCGCCTCCCCGCGCCGGCTCCGCGGTGCCTCCCGCGCCCTGCCCGCGCCTCCCCGCGCCCTGCCCGCGCCGGCTCCGCAGTGCCCCCCTCACCCCGCCGCTCTCCTTGCAGGTGGATCCTTCGCACCAGCCCTCGGGCAGGCTGAGGCACTGGCTGCACAAGCTGCAGGCGGCCATGCGAGCAGTAAGTGGGGATTCTGCAGGCTTTTGGGGTGTCAGCGCCCGAGCCCCGCTGCAGAGCTGACCCAGCCCGTCTCCCCCCGCAGGAGAGCCCCGAGAGCACGGCGTGCCTCAGGGCCACCACCATCCTGCACGTCCTGCAGGTGCTGGACAACCTGCGCTGCGCTGCCCTCCAGGACAAGTGCTGCCGAGCTGGAGTGAACTGCTGAAGTGCCGAAGCTCTGAAGTGCTGAACTGCCCGCAGTCCCCGGCCCGCGGCACCGCCCCCGGGGACGCCCCGAGAACCGGGAAAAACCATTGCGCTGCGCTGTTACTGCCTATTTAACCTATATTTAATCACCTATTTAACCCTCCTTCTCACTTACGCGAGCTGAGGAAATATTTTTTTTCTTTTTTCTTTTTTTTTTTTTTTTTTTTTTTTTTTTTTTTTTTTTTTTTTTTTTTTTTTTTTTAAATTATTGGCTTGGGATAAGGCGAAGTAATGCCCTTCCCGAAAAAAATGCGAATATTGTGTATTTATAAGGTACCTTTGTTTTTCTTGTTCTGAAAGTGTTTTTAAGGAAATCTATTTTTTTACCTGCTATTTATTAAAGAGTACATTCTGCATACTTGCCTGTATAAATTATTTTCTTTTGTGCTATTTAATACGGAAACTGAATTAGTTAACTGATCTGCCATAAGCAGATAAGCTGCCACTACGTGCTTTTAGCATGCTTTTCTGCAATACCGCAGCACAGGTGTCGCCCGCACAAGGATATTGCCCAAAAGGAACCTCTTCGCGTTTAATCTGGGGGCGGGGAGAGGAAAAAAGCCTGGATGTTGGGTTTCTTGGAGAGCTTTAATAGCTTCTGTCGCTCGGCCGCGCCCCAGGCGCTGCCCGTGTGCTGCCGTGCAATGCCAGGAGCAGCGCCCGGGGCAATGAAAATCCAACCAGAGGGAAACGCCCTTGGGCCAACACCTCCCAAGGGCGGGGAGAGCCCCGAAGGCGTGTCTGGAATGCCCCATGGCCCCCGGGATCGGCTGCTCCTTCCCCCGAAACGCCGGGCTGCAGGAAGGCTTTGCTCCGTGAGCTCGGGAGCAGATGCCACCAACAGCTCCTTTGGGAGCCACCTCCTGGCCCTGCTCCCGATTTCACCCCTCGCTTCTGAAGCTTGCGAGAAATCTCTCTCTGGGACCTCCGTACAGCCAGCAGCTGTGGGAGGAGGATGTTTCTAGGACATTTCTGTCCAAAGCCGCCGTGCTGTCTTATCCAAAGGACACCTGGATCTGGAAGGAAAAGCCTAAGGAGGGAAGAAAGGGCTCTAAGCAGCAGTTCTGTGCTGGTGTAAGCGGATTTCAGTGAGCTCGGTTGCAGTTTATTTTTGGGGAAGGGGCACTGGTATCGCTGCAGTGAATGTTCAGGATTCAGGGGGTATTTCAGTAGCTGGCTGCCAAAATTCCCTTGTGTCAGGTCTCCAGCTCTGCCCTACCACACCTCACCTGGGTGCTGCTTTCATGGCTAAGTTTTGGTTCCCTTACTTAGTGAACGCTACCAAATGGAAGAACTTAAATTTATGCACCTGTTTTACAGATGATTTAACAGAACTGTGAAAATTTATGAAGTTTTTGGGCAGTCTAATTACAATACCCAACTATTCACTCTCCATTACTAAATGCACTCTTACAGTAATTTTTTACACATATTCTATCTGGTGGACTTGTCCTTCTATATGATTGATATTTCTATTTGACTGATGTTATAGATAACAAATATAGTTATTGGCTTTGCCTTTATGTATTAGCTTTTGCAAATTATTATTGATCACAAAATTCCTGATATAGTACAATTTGTAATTATTGCTTTACATATAGTATAATCTGTCCATTTATGTATGCACCATATAGCTTTTATAAATAGCAGTGTAATATATATTATCTTAGACTGTAGCATAATAGACTGTGAAATGTTAAAATGCTTCTTCATGTAACCAAATCAGAAAATGGTGTAAAACAATTAAGTGATTTCCCATATTAGGGACTATCTTATCTTAAAGACAAGATAATGGAAACAGAAAGCAGAGCACCGAAAAAAAGAGAAGAATTTATTAACCCCTATTATCAGGGAGTGAAAATACAACAGGATGGAACCACAAGAAGAAATAAAATATATTAGATTAATCTACAAGATAGCATGAAGACAAGTCAAAGGTTAAAACCAAGCAAAAGAACATCTGAACTCAAAAGAATGTTTGAATATGTATAAAATCTTATGAATATGCATGTAATCCCTGTAATGTAACAGTATATAGAGACCATGGTTTAAAATTTAATTTGTTTTTGTTTTTGTTTTTTTATTTTTTATTTGGCAAATAGCCAAACACCCCAGTGCTGGATTTTATCCCTTAATAAACTTTTATAAAATTAAATAATGAGTCGTGTTTCTTACAACTGACTATTGCATATTGACATTACTGACACATTGATTGACTGTTCCATCTGATTCACTAGTTCTTCCACTCATCTGCTGCTGGAATGTACAAATAGTCGATTAATTTCAGCAGGCACCAGGGCAAACGCTGCAGCCTGGCTAAGCTTTGCTCCTGAAATCATCCTGAAAATTGCTGGTTTTTTTCCCTCTCGGTGTGTTCCTATTTCCCATTGACACGGTGTAATTTATGTTGTCCCCTTTCCACAGCAGTGTGAGGGCACAGGAAAAAGAATGCAATTTATTGGAAATGGCCAGGAAGGCGGTGGGATCGCCATCCCTGGAGGTGTTTAAGGAACCACTTGTTCCTTAAAGAGGAACGAGGTGCAGTGCCGCGGTCTGGGTGACACGGTGAGGATCCGTCAAAGGTGTGATCTCAGAGGTCTTCCCTAACCATAAACCTGTGCTTGTGTTTACAACAGGTGATAGAATCAGCCCGGGCACAGATAACTCCACAACACCAGCTCCCCTCAGGCACTGCCCCAAGATGGCGGCGCCGCCTGAGGGACCCCCCGCGGCAGCCCCAACATGGCGCCGCCCTCCCGGCGGCTAACGGCCGCCCCGCCGCCGCCACAAACTCTCGCGAGATCGCGGCGGGGGCGCCCCCGGCCCCGCCCAGGCTCTCGCGAGATCTGCGCTGTGGGAGGAGGAGGAAGAGGAGGAAGGCGCCGCCGCCGCCGCTGCCCCGGGCCGGCGCCGGGGATGGTGTTGGCCGCGGCTGCCGGGCCCTGACGCCGCGCTCAGGTACGTGCGGGCTGCCCCTGGCTCGGGCCTGGCCGCTCCCGCTGGCCCCACATCTGCCGGCCCGCCAGGCCTCGGCTCCCGGCGGGCTCCCCGTGCCCGGCGGAGGAGCTGCCCTGGCTCCCGGGGGAGCTGCAGAATTCCCCGGCCTCTCGCTGCCTTCCTCAGAAATAAGCACAGCACCTCTCCCTTCCTCCTGTGCCTCCGCGGTAAAGCTTTACCTGTGATTTGAGAGTACTTTCTCGCTGTGTTTCATTAGAATTTGGGATGCAGCCGAAGCGAATAATTTGTTTTCCAGCCTGCTCCTCTTGGGTTGCCTGGTTGTTTGAGATAAGTTGTGAAGGTATTTAGGCATTTAATGTCCATCGATTTTGAGTTTATCTAAAATGAGCGCCTAAAAGATGAGAGTATTTTTGAGGGGACAGCTGGTCTGCAGCTTACAGGTATTTTTTTTTCTTTTGCTTAATTTATGGCCGCATTCATTACTTTTCAGCATCCTGCTCCCCCCCCTTTTTTTTTTTTTTTTTTTTTTTTTTTTTTTTTTGCGTTTTTTTTTTTTTTTTTTTTTTTTGGAAATTTGTTTTTTTTTTTTTTTTTTATTCTTTCTCCCTCCGGGGTGAAACTTACAGTTTGTTTCGGTTGAGCCAGCTGGATTTCACACTTAGCCTGAACTGTACTTTTGTTTTTAAACATACATCTTGAAGCGGTCGGCTTCACATCCCTTGTCAGCGTCAGGGAGCTTGACCTTCATGTAGATCTCACTGGAGTTTCCTGCTGTTAGGGACTGTTGTGAAATACATTATTTCTTTTTTTAAGCTTTGTTGCTCGCTTTTCTGTTAAGCTCTTCTCAGTCTCTAAGTAAAGACTATACCCTGGCTTTTTGCATTTTTCTCCCGTTTATTTGGTTGAATTAATTTATATGACTTAAAATATAAGCAGTTTCCCTACCATTTTAGCTGTTGGGGAGCCTGAAGGGTTTGGGTTCTGTCAGTACCTTGTTGGTTTTAGCCAAAATATTCAAGAAGGAGCAGTTGCCTTCAGCTGGGAGTAGCTTGAAAACATACGAAGCCATGACAGATTGGATGTTCTGGCTTCATGGCTTTGGCATTCTGAGCACCTTTTACTGTAATTAATTTATCAGTGTGATTATTTTCTAGAGTGGATGGCTGGCACAGCAGAAGTGTCTCTTCATTTCAGTTACTTGGTCTCCGTGTGTTGGTTTTTTTAGCGTTGTGCAGCTGTGTAGGTGTTTGCACTGTTTGCAGCCTCAATTCCTTTCCTGTGCCCTGGGAGCTGTCTCAAAGCTCACTTCCTAGTTAGAGTGTTGTTCCAGGAATCCCTCCCCTTTCTCCTTTTAATTTATTTTTTTCTTTTGGCCAGCCAAAAGGCAGCTGTGAATGTTGTCCTGGGAGGTGTGCAGGAGAGTAGGGGGTGTTTTCACAGCTGGTCTTTCAGAGGAGCAGTGTCAGGCAGTGAATGGGGTTGTAAACACTGATGTAATCCTGACCTCTCTCCAGAAAATTAAATTTCCTCTTGGCCTGATGCACTGTGCCTCCCTCAGTATCCCCAGCCCAAACAAGCTCATTCTTCAGGTGCTGAGGGCCATCCCCACCTTTCACGACCTCGCTGTTGCCTTGTGCAGCACCTCTGCCTTGGTAAGGTCCTTCACTCCTTATTCAGCTGGTGCCTTGTGGAGGCTGACCTAGAACAGAGGCTCGACAGAGCTAAAAAATAAAGCAGGGATTTATTAAAAGGATTTCCTCAATGGATCCACCTTGGGCAGCACAAGAGCCCAGCTAGGGCTATACCCAAGAGGAACCAAAATGGACACAAAATGGACAATTGATCACAGGGTCTCTTCACTTTTATAAGTTCTGCTCTATTTGCATATTGGAGTTCATTGTCCAATTACAGCTTTAGGTTGTGAAGTTCATCCTCCTTGTTTTTCTCTCTTCAATTCACAATTGTTTATACCTTTTGGGCCTGGAGCTTGTAACAGTTGTCCTTGGACAAGCTGGAAGAGGATTGTCCTGTCTGCCTACCCTGTGAAGAGAACTTGCTAGCACTTAATATGCAACTCAGAGTTACACACTAAATCAGCACAGACTGGAAAATACAAAAGCCAAAAGTTAAGCCATCACAACCACCCTGAGCTGTTTTCCTCCTCGCCCTGGTTTCTGGTGACTGTCCTGCCCTCTGTTGTGTTCCAGGTGGGAAGCAGCAGTAATGCTAACTCTGGCAAGCAAGCTGAAGCGGGATGATGGCGTCAGAGGCCCCCGTGCGTCCAACCCAGCGTCTGACTCCACGCGCAGGGTGTCTGTCCGGGACAAGTTACTCGTTAAAGGTGAAAGAGTATCTTGAAATTTGTTGGGATTTACTGCTTTTGGGTGTGTTTGTGAGTTTCCACAGGTATTTTTCAGATGTCTTGTAGGATGTGGCAGCAGGTCTCTGGTCACAGAGAGCAGCAACTTTCCCAGGCATTGTTCTGGGAAAGGCTGTGAGAAGATCAGAGAAGAGAGTGAGAAAAGTTCTTAGCTGTACTTGCTGCACCTGGTATTGTGAACATGTTGAATATGTTAGGGAGATTTGTTTGCCAAAGGGTGGTTTCTTAATTAGCCAATGGTGATGGTGTTTTAATTGAAGGACCAATTAGGTCTATCTGTCGTGAACCAAGGTATAAAAAAGCAATGGGTTTCTTTATAAAGAAAACTATTATTAGCCTTCTAAAATACATGGAGTCTATGTCAATTATAACCTGACTGGGGATGCCTTGTGATGACAATAGAACACTTACATTTATTGAATAATGAAACTAAAAACAAATGTCCTCCTTATTCTGTTGAAAACTAGTCCATCATCAATTAAAACGTGATAAAACATTGCCACATAAGTGGCATTGAATGTAGAAGAGGAGAATGTCAACAGAATTTTATTTCCCTTAATATGAAGGTGGTTTTTGAGCAAAACCGTAACTGCCTGTCACAGGCAAAAACGTCCTGAAAGTCACAGCAGTGTTTTGGTGCTTTTAATGGCACAGGTCATAGGTAGCACACTTTAAAAATATTTTAAAAAGCGGTGCAGAGGGAGATTTTTCTAGGCCTGGAGTCACTATAAGTTAAATGTGAAGTTGTGAATAATAAACCAGTGATTGTATTGCAGTGTTGTGTGTTTTAGGAAGGATGCTGTAGATTTTTACCAGCTGGTGGGAAATAAGCCCCAAAACTACTGCTTGGCAGTTGTGGGTAAATGGGGTAGTTAAAGAGACAATAATTAAACTATTTTATTGTTAAATCAGGGACAGCTCTTTCCTGCACTTCTTTTTTTTTTTTTTTTTTTTAGCATAGACAATATAATATTTAAAAATCCATAGATGTTTGCAGTTACTATGGATTTGAAGTCAGGTTCACTCCCTCTGGTAATAGTTGAATATTAGTGGCAAAGGAATGTGTTGTTTAGGTTGAAGTTTCTGCTGAAAATGATCTGTAGCAAATACTCTGCTGCTGGTGTGTAAGCTGCCACTGTTGGGATTCATGCCAGTCAGAGGAAATCCACATTTCCTGTCCTTGTTTCAGAATGATTTGAGGCTGACACGGCTGTAATTGCCTGACTGATATTACCTAACTAGCAGTGCATATGGCTTTTTCCAACTTAGGGTAAGTTCTGGCAGATATCTGGAGCAAGGTGTCACTGCAAATGCTGCTGCCTCAGTGCACTGGGAAGTGCCTCAGCTGGACTGTGGGAATGTTGTAGCCACAATTTTCTCCCTGTATTGTTTTAAGGACAGGGAAGTTTTACGTGCTTTAAATCATGATTTTGATCACTCTTACACTTCGGGTTTGGAAATCCTCATTTAACTTCAGTTCTGAGGGGGAATGATTCAGGCAGAAGAAATAAGCTCTTTAACCAGGCTAAGCTACAAAGCCAAATTACTAAATATATATAATCTGAGATTTTCCCTAACCTACAGGTATAGACTTGAGGGGGAGATAGCATTGTGAAATAAATACCCTTCATGTGAGGTGCCAGAGAAATTTTACTCTACCCTTAGAGCAATCATGTTTTTCAAAACGATACCCAAGTCTGCAGGAGAGGAAGAGAATGTAATTGCAGAAAGTTAGTATTCACATTGTAATTGCTGTGGCTGTGATAGCAAACCAGCTAAGTGAAGCTAAGTATTTAAACTCGGTAAGTTCAAGCTAAATATTGAACAGTCCCAGACTGACAAATGTTGAAAGCAGGTCAGTGCTCACATGGCTCTGACAAGCATTGAGTGCTGGATCCTGATCTGATTGTGCATGGAAGTTGCATCCCTGCTGTGAAATGAGTGGTGTGGGTCACTTAAAGAGTCACCATCAAAGGCATTGGTGAAAATGTGCCTTAATATAAATTTGCAAAAGCACAACAGAGGTTGTTGGCAGGGTTTACACTACTGCTTACTGCATGGATAATACATGTAAAGGAAAATAAGAGTCAATTTAGAGTGATATATGCAGAGGCTGGAATGAAAAGAGGAAAGGGTAAAAGGTAAAGGAAACTCTTGGTTGAGTCAGGAGGTTCAGAGTGAAATCCCTTCCTTTCTAAACTCAGGGAGGAGTCTCAGTGCAGTTGGACCCAGTCTCAGGCTTGGACTCAACAGTTATGTGTAAAAGATGCAGCAGAACTTAATCATAAAAGCATTAATTATTAATCAGCTATAAACATAATATAGATTCAAGATAATAAGATATATGCTGTTTTATAGTGTGTTTAAATCATGCACACACAAAATATATATATATACCTATATATATATATATGTATGTATGTATATATACACACACAAATGTGCAAAGGTAACACATACATGTATGGATTTGTATGTATACATGGGAAGACATATTAAAAATTCCCCCACAGAATCAATGAAATAGTCCTGTTTATTCCTTTTTGGGGATTACTGCATTTTTTTTTTTTTTCTGATTACTGAAATTCAAGTGAGAACGGTACCATTTCACTCAGGCTACACTTCAGCCAAGGAATGTTCCAAAGCCATCAGGGAGTGACTGATTATTCCTATTCCCATCTCCCACCTTGTCCAGGCTGCAGGACTTCCTGGTACAGTTGAGGAATGCTTCACCACAGCTCTTGTGCAAAGGCCAGGGCCTGATAGGAATTGCTGAAATTGCAGAGCAGGCCAGAGGCTGGGGGAGAGGACGCAGCAGCACAATCATGATACTCTCCCAAAAGAGCTGTGGGAGCAGCTGTCAGTGTGCTGAGGGTGATTTCTGGGTGAAATGGGAGCTGACAGGACAAGCAGATCATTCCAGTGTAACTGCTGAAAGTGAGAGGAGAAAGTAGTGGGAAAGACTTGTTGGGGGTGTTCTGTTTTAAGCTGCTTAAGTTAAATGTAGACCATTTGTGTACAAAAGTTTCTAGAATTTGCTTCAATACTTTCAGGTAGATGAGCTGCAGCAGCACATATGATGTGGTGAGCCTGAATGGAGGTGAACTCCTGATACTGATGGTGTTTCTAGGTCATGTAAAGATTGCAGGATGAGTTTGGACAGGAGTGCAGAGCTGCCTGCTAAAGGTGTGCACACAGTAGGGATGCTGCTGCAGCTGGATCAGCACCAGTGCTTTCATTGCTTGTTTGTGGAACTGTAATTTGAATTTAGGCTGTTGTACTGGATCCCAAAGCCCATGGGAGCCTGGAAGAGTAGCTGTAAGTAGAAGTTGTCACTGATGTGTGTTTTGGCTGGAGTTAGAAACAGGTGACAGTGGCAGAACAGGGGAAGGGCTCCATCAGGTCAGTGTCTTGGCAACAAGTAAGAAAATAATTTCTCTTGCATAAAAGAAGATAAATCCTGGCCTTCAGAAGGGGAGGAGGAGGAGATGAGAAAAGGCCCAGAGTGTTCTATCCCTGCTCCACAGTAAATGGGGGATCATCTAATAAATCGTGCAGATGGATGTCTGCCAGCTTTGCTAAGGGTATTGTCCAGATACAGACGGTTGTTTTTCTGGAGATAAATTGCAGACAGCCTTGTTTGTGCTGATAGGGAGTCCAGTGCAGGATCTCTCAAGGATGTGTTGTTACACTGATAGCCCTGCAGCCCTCAGTTGTGTTGTGTCCTCTACCTGGTCAGTAGATCAATTCTGTTTCGATTGAGGTGATGACCATGGCCCCAGCCACTGACAAGTGTAGGTGATGCTTACAAACATTTGAAGACTTGGCATAGGCCAAATGCATGCTGCTTGAAAGTAGGAAAAATAAGTGCTAATTTAGGTATTATATCCATTTGCACTGTGGGTGTGAAGAAACATCTCAGTTGGTGTTTGAAATAGTGGTGTCAGGCACTGACCTTGACTTTATTGATGGATGCATGTTAAACAGGATTTGTTCCACTTTTGGAGAAAAGCTGCTCTTAAAACACTGCTGCTCTTTGTTAGTTTTTGATTAAGTTGTTCCTTTGACTGCTTGTATCCAGCATTGTCACAGATTAAGATATCAGTTATGTCTCTGGACACTTGGGCTATTTTATGGACGTATTATGAATGGAAATCTCTCTATCACTGAAGTTTTATATCTAGGGAAGTAATTCTGAGTCATTTGGATATTCTCTTCCAGCTGTAGAGAGGGTCTAGTAAAGCACAGCTTTGTTCAAAAGTCTGTGTGACTCATCTGTACATCTGTTTTCACTGCATTTCTGTCTAGGCTCAGTTGGAGAGTAAGGCCCTAATTCTGTAAACTTAGGATCCAAATTAAAATAGAGCAAGCAGTGCAATTGCTTCAGCAGCTTTCATTTTGTTCTGTGCTGCAGAGGCAATTTTTAATGTTCTGTTCATCTCTAAGGGGAACTTCATTAAGCTGGGAGCAGGGGCCACATGACTGCTCCTTGTAGCAAGCATGTAGTGCTGAACTTGAAAGGCAAATCCTTCTGAAATTTAAAAAGGGCTGAGGACAAACCAAGGTAGTGCTTAAGATTACTATTACACAATGAAGGTGAGTGCTAAATGGAATTGAAGATAGAGAGCATCCTGGATGGCATTAGCAGCTCATGGATCACAAAGGTTGTCCCTTACACTGCATTTTTGGTAGTGCACAGAAACGTCATCATTCACTTTTATATTACTACTACTGCTTAGTTTGATTACGGCAACTTGAAATAACTTGATATACGTGAAAATGAGTTAACAGGGTTTATTCTTTGGTTATCTTCAATATCTGTAGCTTTTACCACCAGATTTATGTAACCAGAAAATATTTTGTGTGCCTCTGTTTAAGCCTGATAGAGTGGAAGGGGGAAACTGATGATGAAAACGAGGTGAATATCCATTGTAACTAAAAATTAGAGAAACCATTTATTTGCTTTCTTCAAGCCTTCAAAAATAGTAATATCCCTCCTCACAAAAACAGGTGAGGAAAGTTGAGAGGGGAGAAAATACTTTTTTTCCTTATACTGGTGTGTACAGTTCAGAGGAACTAAGTAGGGAATGCTATAAAGATAGATGGATAAGAATTAGGAGGCAAACAGCATTTCCAGAATTAATAGAGTATTAGAATTAATACTTAGAAAATGGAATTTTTATTAATGTCAAAGTATTTAATCTTCATCTCTGGAAGTCTTAAAGAAGTAAATTGAAGAGGGACCTAAACAGGAGAGGGGGCTTTTTTGAACAAAACCAGAGAAGTAATGCTGCTGTGGATGAGACTGCTCACTTGAGGAAATAATGTTTTTTATTTGGTGTACTTAAAACCAAACTCCAGCTCCAAAATCAAGCATAGAGTCTGATTTTTGTGGGAGACTTAGTAAACGATGGGCTGCTAAATTCTGGCTTGGGGAAGTGAGGCAGCAGAGCAGCGGGGCTGTGGTGTGTGCGTTGAACATTCATAAACCTTGTACACACAGCAGGAGTGTTCCTATTTCTGTCTGGAGAACTGTCATGGGTAGGGAGAGTTATTGTTTGTGAAATCATTTATAAATAACTCTGGTTGCTTGTGTTAGGCTTAGAAGCAGCTCAGGAACTGTGTAGAAGAGAGAAGAGCTGAGACACAATTCATTTGCATTCAACTCTGGCAGTGTTTGTGTTGGGTTTAAGCCTTGCCTTTTTATGGTTTAAAGCAGCATTTGGAACTGTTCAAGCAGGTGTGTTCTGGGTAAAGAGCAGGTCTGTGCAAACTCATGTCCACTTGGGCTGCTCCTGCAGCAGATCACACCAGGCTTTGGGAACACCGGATGGACTATTTGGAGTTTTCTGCCACTTGAGTTTTCTGGTTGTCTCCTCATCTTTATGGTGTGAATTGAGACACAGATGCAGATTCTCCATGAAATGACCATGGAAAATACTCAGACTGAATTTTCTTCACTGTTTAGCTGTAGTGACAATAATTTCTTGAAAGAGGAGCTCAGAAAAACTTCTAAATTTGTGTGGGAAATGGATTTGTAAAGACTTTTTAAAACTTTCTATCAAGTTTGTACAGTCTTGTATATTTGTATGTAAACACTGAGATAAGGTGTGTTGACTTAGGGAGGTTATGGAATAAAGATGACATTATTGAGAGAGACTGAGCTAGAAATAAGTTTTAACAAGTTTTAAAAGATGGGCTTGTAGAAAGACTATATTTTAGAGAATTAGAATTGTGAGAGATGTATTGTAGGACTACATGAGAAAAAATATAGGTGATTAGTGTTAGAAGTAATAGTAGTATTGTGGGGTAAAAGTTAATAGGTTGATAAATGTAAGGTATTGTAACTAGGAAATAGGTTAGAAGAAAGTTTGTTCTTTAATTTAGTGCAACTTTAGGACTCTTGGTAGTTCAGTGCATTGGAGCTCTGTCACTTCCATGCTTTGCTCATTTACAGATCTGTTCAATGAGTTGACAGGCTGCACAAGGGGCATTTTCTGGCAGAGAATGCTCATGCCAGAGGTATTGATTTGTGCAGAAAATGTGTGAGTTAAAACATCAGAATGTCAATGGAGTTTGAATGCTCTGGTCAAAATGTTTGCTTTCTGAATAGCAACATACAGAAATGGTTCTAATGTCCAGAGAGACACAGAATTTGGAAAACACTCAAACACTGAGCTTTGGCCTGTTAAATGTGCTTGTTAATTGGTGAATCACTAGTGTTTGTTCACATGGCACAATTAATAGTAACATCTGCTGCCTTACTTGATATTGCTTTAAACATTTAAATTATTGAAGCAGATATTTGTCTGCTTTGTTTTCATGAAGTTGTTTCATTCTTAGTTTCAGTGGTTTGTTGTAGAGTTCATTTGAAACCTCAATTTTGGTTCATTTGCCTTTGTTTCCAGAACTTTTGTGTGGGCTTATTAGCACAGCATTCCCACCTGTTTGCATACCTTCAGGGAAGGAGCACACTGCTCCCTTCTGCTGGGTGCGAGCATTTTGTTTTCATGTTTTCATGAGAAAAAACACTCATTCTTGTGCCAGGACAGAGAGAAACACAGGAGTGTGAACACATTACAGGGCATTTCCCCCCTTCAAAGGATCTCTGATGATTTTAAACTCTCTACTGAGCCTTGCAGGAGGCAGAACTGCTCAGCTCAGCCCTTGCTGGGACTGAGCATGCCTTAAATGCCTCCCTTTTTGGGATCAGGAAAGGGCATGAAGGATTCATTAAGGTGAACATCACACAAGGACAGAAGGCAATAAAGAAAAGCAGTCACACCTTAAAATAATTGAACCAGGTCCTAAACTTTGCACTGTAGTGAAGGTTGATGTGCCTCCCACTGTGAAAGGCTGGTGAATTTAAAGAAAGGAGTGAGGGAATGATCTTAGGAAAAGTTTTCATAGCTCCAGACTTCAGGGGTTGGTTGTCACATCTTTTTTTATCAACCAGGAAGGGAAAATTGAAATAAAGTCCTTGATTACAGCTGAAATTACATTTTTGTGTGTGTGCTATATAAAGACAGTGCTTTAGCAAAAGTATGGCTCCAGTGTTGTCTTTCAGTGCATGGCTTTGGTTAAATCAGCTCTGGCTGCAAGTGTGAGATTTTAAAAGAGTGAAGTTGTGAATATTTTAGGTAAGTGGGAAGCACAATGCTTCTGTTTTGGTGTTTTCTTCTCTTGGTATAGTAGGCTGCAGATGCAGGGTGTGCCAAGCACAAGGGAGATGGGAGTCAAATAAGTGGGAGACATTCCCACTGCAGAGAAATGGCAGGTTTGGTAAGCATGGATGGCAGGAGCAGGTCTGGAGAGTTAGTGGGAGTTGTGATGAGATCGGTTTGGGTTCAGTGCCAGGAATTGTGAATGACAGTTTTCTTCACATATGTGTTTTTTGAGAGTGGGAAATAAAATCTAGCATGTTGTCAGCCCAAATAAATGGGCTGTGTCTGTGGAGGCCTGCAAGCAAAGTTAGAAATGGAAAATAAGACCACAGGAAAAGCCAAAAATATATTCCATTTTATTTATTAGGACTTTAGAAATAAAGGGGGAGATACGCTGGTGCATCTTGTTCATAAGAAATTGAAAGTAAGACTTCAATAAAATACACAAAACCAGGGTTTCTCCAGGGAAAGTGACTTGGCAGGCTTAGGAATACACTTCATTTCCTGGGGGCTGTGGAATAGAATCAGGATACTTCCTTTCTTTTATGAATTTTAAGCTCAGGAAATAAATGAAAGGAGACTTTAATTGAATAGGAGTGCATATCAGTAGCAAAACCTGTGCTTTGGAAATGCCAGTGCTCTGTGTGGTAGCAGCCTTGGTGCTCCAGTCTTGGCAGAGCTGAACTCCCTATCAAAGCAGGATGCATTTGCCATGTCTGTAGGGCAGATGAGCATTTTTAGTAATGAATTGAATGGCTTAAAGAGAAATTTCAAGGTAAACTTCCACTGCAGATTAATTATATTTTTAAGTAAAATTGGATTTACGGGGTGGTTTAAATTAGATCTGCCAATTTGGACTTGAAGAAGGGCTTTAAACTTGCATAAATAATGGTTTTGTTTCTTTTTTTTTTTCAACAGAGGTTGCAGACCTTGAGGCTAATTTACCTTGTGAGTATAACATTTAATAGTATGCATTTTAAAGGGGGAAGGAACATTGAAGTGAACATTTTGACTGAAGTATGAATGCTGATGGTATTTGTTAACTCAGGGAAAGCTGTGTAAATCTCCACCACACTGCCTTGAACAGATTTTCTCTGTTGCTTCCTCTTGTGGGGCTGTGGAGAACTGGACTCATTAGTGTCCTTTGGAAGGAAGGAGAATTGATAATTTGCCTCCAGTTTTTGATTGGTGGGCAGTGGCAGCAAAACATTCATAAAATGCCCAAAAGGTTCCTTGGACAAGGGTCCAATTAGTGTCTCACTCCTGTTTTTTCTTTATTCTCTCATTTTCAAAACAGGCGATTCTGATTTAGGGGCAGAGCAAATAGCTCAGCTCTCAGGAAACATGAAGTCAACCTGCAGTTTTTTCAATTCCAGATGTAACTTGATAGTGAAAATACTCTTGAAAACTAATTTTTTTTAAGAAATGCATATTCTCAAAAAAAAAAAAAAAAAAAAAAAAAAAAAAAAAAAAAAAAAAAAAAAAAAAAAAAAAAAAAAAAAAAAAAAAAAGGCTATTTTGGACCTGGAATCTTACTTGAGATATAAGCCTTCTTTAAAGATATTTTACACAGAGTAATTGTAGGTAAACTTTTTTCAGTGTAGGTTCTGTTAGAGGGTAACAAATACCAGAGTGTGTACTTTCAGTTACTACAATGTGAATGCTTTACTAGGGTTTGTGTACAGTTCTAGGTAGGTTTTTTCAGGCAAATAGGATTTATAACGATGATACCATTTAGCTCCTTGGCTACAGAAAAGGAGCAGCCAGCTTGATGCGTTAAGAAGCTAAAGACTGCATAGTATGGGTGATAAAATAACCATGATAGACTTGTCTCCTCATGCCAGACAACAGTGGAGAACTCATTTCTCATGTAAATTATTATTCTGCTTCACAGGTACATGTAAAGTGAACTTTCCTGACCCAAACAAGCTCCATTACTTTCAGCTAACTGTAACCCCAGGTAATTTTTTTCAACATGTTCCTTTTTTTTTCTGTGTGTTGGTGTTTAGGAAATGTAATTCCAAGAGGAATTCCAATAAAGCATCAAGTCAAAGAAAGTCTGGCTGTAGTAGTGATTATTTCATTACAGAGGTGGAGAAACTGTGCTGAGTTTTGACAACCAGATTCCAATAAAAAGGCCTTCAAAAAATGAGTAGGGTGAGGAAATACTCAGATCTTTTTTATTTACTTTGAGAACTTTTTTCCTCTCAGCAACTTCAAACCACCTTGGTTTATTTTTGCATCACATCCCTGTTAGGTTGTGTGTTCCCCTGCACTGATAGCTTGGTTCTGCAGAGGTGTAGAGAGAGGTTACCAGTGTAACACAGCTGGAAAACTTCAAACCCAGGTGTGCCTGCAGTTCCCCAACAAGAAGGAATGTCTGAGTCTTTGACTGCTCAAATATATGTGAAATCAGATTTTTTATTATTAACACAACTTGAGTATCCTGTGAAGCTCTTGCTGGCAGGCTGGTCAATAAAAGCATTTCCATAAATTATCATTTCCATGTAAGTTTCTTAATAACCACCTGAAATTAGTGTCTTCTGTGCATTTTAGAACAGAATGGTGTGCTTTATTGATGAATTTGCATGGAAGTTTAAATAAACTTCACATGCACTTGTGTTTGAGACTGCAGCTGCTCAAATGAGAACATTGCTGTGTGCAGTGCACTGAGTGATTTGAGTTAGGTGTGCTGGATCAGTGTCCCTCTGCCTGCTCATTCTGCTAGGTGCCCATTTTCTGTAGATGCTTTCTGACAGCAGAATTTGGGTGAGGTGTGTCAGTCACCCTGGTGTTGACCTGGAGAAGCAGCGGTGTGCACTTAATGGAGTGCCTGGGATGTTTCTGTAATCCAGAGCAGCACTAGGTGTCACTGTTGCTGTTCGTTAGCCCAAACCAACTGGCCCTTCCTCCAGCAGAAATTTTGGGTGGTCTCTGTTAACATGTCCATTCATGTGACTCCCTTTTGTGATGGAAAAATGAGTGAGGCTGCCTTGTCAGTGTAATTAAAAATAAATGCAAGAGCTAATCTAAAACTTCACCCCTGTCATTCTCTGTAGGAGTTGTGCTCACGTTTACTTGGTGGGTGTTAATTCTGCTTGCACCAAATGTCCTTCACTTTACAGGATGCTGCTTTATTTTATTTTGGAAAGGAGTTGACTTTACAGGAGCATCACTATGCAAATGAGCGATGTGTGAAAAAGCTGTCCTAACTCCAAGGTGTCTAAATCCCAGGAAGTATTTTGTCTGCTCTCTGCTGTGCAGCAGGATGCTGTAGGCAGAAACCAGCTGTTGAATGCAGAGCATGGGTTTTCTGCCAATGATCTTGCCAATGATCTTAATTAACATTTTGTTACTCTAAATATAGCTGCACAGCTGAAGTCTCTGCAGTTGCAGCCTGACCCAAGTAAACATCTATTTTCAGCTGTGCATAATTCAGGTGTAGAATCTTGTGATCAGCCATAGTTTAGCACTGTAAAGGCAGAACACAGCACAGACCAAGAAAATCTTTGTAGTTTTCTGCCTCTATTCAGTACTGAAGTTTTCTCTAGTGTATGCTAAATCTTAGTTTTCCTTGAGGCAGCAGAATGGTTGTCATAGGAGTTCTATGTCTCAAGCAGGCTTGAGCCAACTCTTTCTGTATTTTCTGAACAATGTTGCATGAATCTTGACTTCGTTCTATGCAGTCATTTTGAACGTGGCTGCTCTTGAAAGGACAGTAAAGAAGCTTCCTTAGGCTTTCACAGAAAGACTAATTTGAATAAGAAAATTAACTTGACCACCAATGAGAAATCCTTTCAGGTCCTTTGCTCAGCTCCTCTCACAAAAACCTTTCTCAGCCCATATGTAATGTCACAAAATTATCCTGACAGGAAGTTTTTAATTTAAAATGATGTTGTAGAAAATCTTGATGAGGGTGACTGCTTCATATAATTGAAGAAATTCCAATCTCTGTATGCTCCAGTTTTCTGCAGTGCACCATCAGTGGATATTTAGCAGCACTTGGATTTTTCTGCTGCAGTGGATAAACTCCATGTTCCCAAGGCAGATGTTGCTGGTTTTCTCTGCTGTCTGAAGCTTCTCTTCCCTTTTGTCATCTGAAACTTCTGCCTTTGAAAAATACCCTTGTGTGCCTCTGTTCTTATTTTTGCACCAATATCATATTGGATTAAAATTGAAGGAAAATAAGGAGATGGATGCTTAGAATCCAGGCTTGCTGCACTGATATTTGGAGCACAAAATTGGAAGCTGAGGATTCAAACATGGTAATGACCTGGAGAAAAAAGAAAGGAGGTGACTTTAGGTAGCTTATGTGCAGAAACCCAGAAGAGTAAATGCAATTTCCCTGCAGTTCCCAGGCTATTGGACAAGTCTGGGGTTGGTGTGGATATTTGAGTGCCACTCTAGGGGGATTAATAAAGGCCCTGTTTTCTGGTGAAATGCCCACAAATATTGGTGAGCGTGGCTGATTCAGGGAGCAGCTATGCAAAGTGCATCCTTTGTGGCCTGTCCTAATTATCTTGCATTTTCTTCTAAAGTGAGGAAGTAATTTGGTTGTTTTCCAGAGCACTTTCAGGCATTAAAACACCTTACAAACACAAGCTAAGATTAGTCAGGTTGTTGGTAATGAAACTTGAGACTGAAGTGGGAGGGATGCTTGCTCTGCTAATACAGCTTGAAGACATAAATTTAGACAGTAGGAGGAAAATTGTGGCTCAGACATCTTCCCTTTTTAGCAAGTGTCTCTGTGGCCAACTTCCTAAGTTATGTGTTAAAGCTGTTCGATTTGATGGGTTTATTTATAGCTCTTTCCTCACTGTTAACTCTGCCACAACTTTTTTTCCCACCACTTTTCCAAGCCTAAAAAATTGAGGATTTCTCTCCCAGTCTGAGAACCTATTTACTTGAGATGCTGAAAGATGACTTCATTGTGAATTATCTTGTTAATGCAGTGCAAGAATTCTGGCTGGGTACCGAGGCTCTCCAGAATTTTTAATATATATTTGAGTGACTGGTAATGAGTAGCTTTATTGTTGCTTTAGGAACACAGAGGCAGAATTGTATAAAAGAGGGGAGGAAAGATGTCTTGCCCTCCTAATTGTGTAAACATGTCCTTGCTTATTTGATAGCAGAGACAGTGTGGTTTAGATTACCCAGTGTGGTTTTTGATTAGTGATTGGTGACAAGGTAAAACCAAAATATAAAATGAGTTGTAATGTGAGGCAGTGATGAATATTGAATTGTCTTGGAGGAAGACTTAATCTGAAAGTTCTTGAGTGTTTCTGTTGGACAACCATTGCAGTGAGTGTTCATGAAATCTGGGGATTTTCTTTGACATAAAACACACGTGGATACATCCATCAGCAGGCATTTATTTAATTTTAGCAGGGGTGGAATGTGAAGAGCTGCTGCATGCTTTGCTCCAAGTCCAGCAAATCAAGGAACTAGTGAAATTAAGCCAAGGAAAATAACTTTTGTACTTGGAAAAGTGATAATTCCTGACACTTGGTTAAAATGTATCATAGTGCTAGATGGTGGATAAAATGCAGTCAGCTGTGTTCTGTTGGATAAATGTGGTGTTAGAGCTCCTGGGAGATATTAGACCATTTTCCCAATGACTCCTTTCTGGAACAGTGTCTTGCTCTGAGTGTGTTGCACATTTGACAGGGAACAGTTTCACCAAAGGGTATCAGGGTAACTCACCTCTTACTTCCTGTTCTTCACTAATGACTTGCTTTACTGATTTTTACCTCTGTATATTTAAAAACAAAAGAGAAAAATGCTTTTCTCCTGCTTTTTTTTTTTTCCTAGAAAAATCAGTGCATGTCCCTTTACTTTCTGGTAAAGCATAGCATGCCTAAATTTGCTTAATAAATCCAGCACACTTCAGAATGGAATTGGAATGGGAATGGAGGATAGATTTGAAAAGCAGATCAGGAGACAGCAATCTGAAGGAAGATTTTGATGACTTACAATTGACAAGCTAGTTTCTTTTGTGGTTTGGGAGAAGCTAGATAATAGAAAATTTCTTCTTAATCTTTCTGTAAACTATGGGTTGTTTCACAGAATATTTCTTTGCAGTGTTGGTTTAAGAAACAATAACACTGAATGATGCAGGGTTTACCGCCCTCCTGGCCTTCAGTGGGGCTGGGGTGCTCAAGGTGCTTTGAGCCAGAGCATCTCTCAGATGTCTCAAACCCCACTGTGGGCTGGGTACCAGTTTCCTGGTGGTTTTTT